CTCCTCCCCCCCCCAGCCCGGCCCCCCCCCTCCCTCCTCCAGCCAGGTCCTCCACTTCCTCCTCCAGCCCAGGCCCTCCACTTCCTCCTCCAGCCAGGCCCTCCACTTCCTCCTCCAGCCCAGGTCCTCCACTTCCTCCTCCAGCCCAGGCCCTCCACTTCCTCCTCCAGCCAGGCCCTCCACTTCCTCCTCCAGCCCAGGTCCTCCACTTCCTCCTCCAGCCCAGGCCCTCCACTTCCTCCTCCAGCCAGGCCCTCCACTTCCTCCTCCAGCCCAGGCCCTCCACTTCCTCCTCCAGCCAGGCCCTCCACTTCCTCCTCCAGCCCAGGTCCTCCACTTCCTCCTCCAGCCATGCCCTCTACTTCCTCCTCCAGCCTAGGCCCTCTGCTGCCCTCCACCACCTCTTCCAAGAGCCCACTGTCCACACACATCCCCTCAGGGAACCCTCGGCTGCCCCAACCAATTTGTGCCACATTGGGCGGCCATGCTCCCATCTGTTGCCACGCCCTGCCCCAGCCCTACAATCGGGAAGATTCTGGGAGCGCACACACCCCTGCTCAGTGGTGGAGTGGCCAAGGGCCTCCATCTCCTTGCCTTTGGAACGGATGATTATGCCATTAACCCTCTGCCTCCCACTGCCATATAGCCACTGAGTGCCGCCGTGTACTGGCAGAATGGGGAAGGGCGTCTGCCTCATCCTGGGGAGATAGAGCAGAGAGTAGCCCGCAGCCTGTGTGCTGCCCACTGGCTGGTGGTGCTGGGGACCTCACCGGCCTCTCCTCTGCATTTCCCATGCATGTCCCCTGGGAGCTTGGGGCAGGCCTGAGTTGGCCACGCCCACTTCCCTGGCACCAGAACAGGCACGTGGGTGAGAGATGGGCAGCTGGGACCAGCACTGCCGGGCCTGCAGGGCAGGGCCATTCCAGTGAGTTCTGCTAACTGGAATTCCCAGCTATTCATAAGCACATTCCTTGAGCAAGCCTTCCCTGATCCCCACCGCAGAGAAGGTTCCTGTCCTGGGGTCAACAATAGCCACTGTGCACACCACACGCGTGGCTTTCATAACTGACTACAACTCAAGCTGCAAGCACCTGAGCCCCTGCTTGTCCGGGCCTTGCTCTGGGCCTTGCCTCTGCGGCACCTGCAGCCTTTTGGGAGGCACATTTGCGCCTTGGTGATACCGGGTGGCCTGGAGGGAGAGTGGAGCTTACTGAGCGGGGAGCCCGCCAGAAGAGGGGCCCTGAGAAAGCAAGCCTGATGCTTAGACTGCGGGACGAGCGGGGCCGGGAATGAGCATCTTGACCGGGAGACAGCGTGAGCAGAGGCCCAGGGCCGGCCACGAAGGTGGGCCCAAGGGCCCGGGAAGCTCAGTCCTTGAGGTCAGAGCAGTGTGGCCTGCCAGAGAGGGGAGGTCAGCAGAGACCCAGTGGGGAGCTGTCATGGCCCTCCTCTGCCGTAGGGAGACGCCTTCTCCCCAGACACTCTGATGGGTCTTCCTCGTGTTAACCTGCAAGGTGCCTGGGAGGGTGTTTGCTTGTGCATCGTCTTCCTTTTGTAAAAAAGTTTCTTTCTTTCTTGAGCGACAGGTACTCGTGAAGGAGGGCTGCAGACGGGGAGCCCTCTCTTGCCTGTGAGAGGCAGCGCGATGGGGTGCCTGGCCTGAGCCTAGGCTCTGCACCACCTTGGCCGAGTTTCCTAGCTCCCCCATATTGCAGTCTGCTCACTGACAAAATGGGGTGAAACCAGGACTCTCCTTTTATCGCGAGGACTGAGCCGACATTATGAGAAACAGCATTAGCTGAACAGTCGCAGCCAAGAGGTACCTCAGGGGCCAGATGAGCCCCGCCTGAGCCACTGAAAATCCCGCAACATTGGGCACTGGCCGTCGGGGCACAAGGGAGCCTGAGCCTGGAGAGATGGGAGGGAAAGGAAGGCCCAGAGACTGCCCGCTTCCCACTTGGTGAGTCACAGGCTGTGGTGCAGGGAGCCCACGGTCTCCCTGGAGAGAGCTGAGAGCCCAAGGAGACGAGGGGACACAGCTCAGGACATGTGGTGAGGAAGAGAGAACCGTAGCGAGAGAGCCGCAGAGAGAGCCACACAGAGAGAGCCACAGGGACAGAGAGCGAGAGAGAGCCACATAGAGAGGGCCACAGAGAGCCACACAGAGCGCCACAGAGAGAGCCACAGAGTGAACCAAACAGAGAGAGCCACAGAGAGAGAGAGACAGACAGACAGAAAGAGAGCCACAGAAAGAGAACCATTCAGAGACAGAGCCAGAGAGAGAGAGCCACACCGGGCAAGGTGCCTTGAGCTGTCACCGAATGCTAATCAGCATGTTGGAGAAAACCACTGAGCCCAGAGAGCGAGCGTGGAAGGGGTCCGGAGAACAACGCTTGGGGCTGGGGGCGGGGGGGATTCTGGCGCAGGCCCAGCGGAGTCCTGCCCACCCTCCGCCAAGAGGACACCACGGTGCGGTACTGGGCGGAGCGCGCGGTACTGGGCGGAGCGCGCGGTACTGGGCGGAGCGCGCGGTACTGGGCGGGGCGGGCGCGGGGCGGGGCGCGCGGCGCGGTACTGGGCGGAGCGCGCGGTACTGGGCGGAGCGCGCGGTACTGGGCGGAGCGCGCGGTACTGGGCGGAGCGCGCGGCCTTTGGGCTCCAAGTGCTCTGGCCTTTCCTGACGAAGCTTAAGAGCGACCCGAAAGGACGAAGCCGTTTTCCAGTAACATAACTACACCCTGAACGAAGCCCACAAACACACACCCCCAACACCCAGCAGCGAGGAATTCCCAACGCCGGGCTCCGGGGCAATGGCCTGGCATGCAGGGAAGCAGAGTGCACCATAACGAAGCGCAAGTCAACCGATCGACGTGAACCCAGAGTGGCGCGGACGATAGCCGGAGAAATGGGAGTTTTGGGGCGGCGTGCACCGTAGCCCAGATCGTTGGAACACTGGGAATGGTAAGTAGATATGTAGAAGGTAGTAAAAACAGCCAAACCACACTAGAGATGAAAACCCCAATGTCTACAAGGAAAGGTACATTGGCTGGGCAAGCTGGGGCAGGCATGGAGGCAGGGAGAAGCCCAGAGCTGCTATCGTCAGGTTGCAGAAGGAAAAGCGAGTGCGTTTGCAGACGGGACAAAGATCCAAAACGGAGCACAGAGAGAAGCCTCGCCCCAGACAAAGAAAGAAACAGAGCCTCGCGGACATGTGGGAAACCTCAAATGGCCTAATATACATGCAATTGAAATCCCCAATGAAGAGGATGCAGAAAAATAATTGGAAGCAATGCTGACTGAAAATTTTCCAAACTGAATAATAACTATAAACCACAGCACGAACACAAGAAACATGAAGAAGCAACACCGAGGGACGTTTTAATCAAATTGGCTAAAGCCACGCTAGAGAGAAGAGACCAAGCCGGGAACAGTAGCAGGTTTCTGGTCGGAAACAATGAAAACCAGAAGACACTGGGGCAATTTCTCTCAAGCCCGGTGGTCCCTGTCATCCCATGGGATGCGTTCCAGGGTCCTCGCGGGTTCCCGGAGCCCTGGGTGCACGCTTCCCCTATTCACCGTAAGAACTGAGCAGCAACGAGAACAGAGCAATGATTAACGACAGACTGTACCAGAACTTCTGTGGGCGTGGCGGCCTCTCCTCCCTCCCCAGATATGCTACTACACCACGCCCGCTGGCGGCCGACCCTGGGTAAGTGAGACCACTGAAAGTGAAACAGCAGATAGGGGGTGATGACTGTGCTAAATGACAAGAAAAGCCGTCACCTGGAACTTTCCTTTCCCCAGTGAAGGAGTCGAGAGGAGCCTTCGCGCCATCTGTCCTCTGGACTCCTGGTCTCCGAGACAGAGTTCACAGTGCTGGCCTCACCAGCGCAGGTGGGTTGGGACCTACCATTGGTAGGTTCTTATTGCTCACCGGATTTGGGTCCCCAGCGGCCCAAGCTGAGCAGTACGACAGCACCCAGTGGGGTGGTGTGGGGCTTCCTGCTGGGCCTGTGGCCCCCTACCCAGGCAGCACGTGTGGGTGCTCCCGGGCTCACAGGGACTGTATGGAGTCCAGCTTGTCTCGGAGGAGACAGGCTGAGGGGCAACAGCTTTGCAGGGCTGTTGCAGGTCCCCAATGGAACCCCCGACCCCTGGGACCCAGGCCCTTCAGAGCATGTGGCAGAATGAGGCATGGGGAGTGACATGCATGGTGGCCTCAGACCTCGGACCTCAGACCTCGACCTCACCTGTCATCACAGGAGTGAAAACAAAAGTGACATTCATGTATTTTTTTAAAATAGAAAACCACGTAAGTGTATATAAATGGCAGGCAGTTTCCATGGCTACAGCTGTGCTCAGGTGAGGAGGTGGGCTCTCCTCAGCCCAGTGCATCGGGGCACTGGGGCCATTTCTGCCGGGAACCAGGCGCCAGGCCACTGGGTTGCAGGGGCAGAAGGGCTGCCTCTCCCCGCTGTCCCCAGGACGTCACTCTCCAGGCTAGTCAAGTGCACCTGCGTCCTTGTGCGCTCTGCAGTTCCAGCCGAGTTTCCAGGTGTGCCACCTTCCCAGAGAGAGCAGCCTGAGTTAGGGAGACAGAAGTCCTCGTCTGTTTCACGCTGAGGCACTGAACACGGGAGCCAGAGTCCCTGGGGAACGGCAGAGGGGAAACGAAAACCAGCTGCTGGGAACTCGGCCATCCCCAGGACCCCTCCCTGCAGCGCAGTGCCAGACTCTGAGCATGGGCGGGGGCCTGGGACTGCTGGACGGGGGCAGTGCAGGCTCTCTCCCTCCCTGTGTAAGTGGCCCTCATGCCTCTACACTGTCCGCACTGGCTCCACGCCGTGCGGTCTTTCCACACCCTCAGCTCTGTCTCTTACCCTCCTCCCGCCCCAGCTGCCCGGCTGCTCGGGGATGCCACCTTCCCGCCCTGTGCCTCTGCACATGCTGTCGGTGCCTGGGACCGCCGCCCACCCTGTAGGACTGCCACAGGCTCTCATGTAGATCTTGGCTCCTCCCGCATGTCTTCAGAATGTGGTGTGCTCGCCGGTCTCTCCGGGGTTCCCCTCCCAGCGACAGCCTCTGCCAGGTAATGCAAAGGGAACCTGGGCCGGACCTCACTCCAAGCCCGACGGCACCAGAGGCTCGTGCCACACAGTGTCCCTGCAGGAAGGGGACAGGCATAACCCTATGTGGGTCTCGTGATCCTCTGGGTCCTTCTCAGACTTCACTGACCTGGAGCCCCCGGCCGTACCGTCTTTCCAGCCTGGCCTCCCTTCCTCTGCCCTCCTGTGCACGGAGACAGGAGGGCACAGGGCTGGGTGACGGCTGGGGCAGGGCCACTGCGCTGCGCCTTGCACTCCGCCTCTCTGCAGGCCAGCAGGTGCCCTTCCTCATAGGCACATGGGACCTGTGTGAATATGGGACAGAGAGGCTGGGCGGGGCCACCAGGAGGAGCATGGGCTGGCCCAGCTGTGGACTGAGGCTGCCCTGGAAGCAGGGGGCTCCTCACTCCCTTCCCTCCTTGGGTGCCGGCAAGTGTGTCTCAGGGCTGAGTGCCAGCCAGGCCTGGGAAGGTAGCACCCAGACATTTATCGAGCGCCCCCATGGCCAGCTCTCGGGATTACCTGGCAGGGACAATCGTGCCCACTCCACGGCCGAGGCTCCACACCCTGCAGTGACCTCTCCCTGTCAGGCATGGAGGTTTCTGGTGAACGATGTCAGGGTGGGAGCATCTGGGGTTCCCCACTGTAAAGCAGCGCCAGGTTTACTGACCTTGCCCTGACGTGGACAGAACGTTTTCCTGCCCCATGACAGCTGTCTAGCCATATAACTTGGCCAACGGGGCAGGAGTAAAGGGACAGAGTCCGTTCCAGGCCACGTTGTTGAGAGCACTGTGTATTTCGGCTCACCCTCCTACACTCCTGTGAGTGGGAGGAGAGTGTGAGCCAGGCGGTGGCTGGTCCAGGAGTGTGCAAGCAGGAGGAGTAGACCTGAGGGGCCAGGCCCCAGCTACCCGCAGCCTGATGCAGGCTGCCCCTGAGACAGGTGAGGGAAACCATGCTTGCTGTTCTAAGCTGCTGAATGCAAGGTGCTTTGTTACTCAGCATCACCATGCCAAAGCTGACTGACACATCCACGAGGCATCAGCCCTGATGCTCAGGCTGAGGCACACGAAGCACTAAATACAACGCAGGCTAATAAAGCAGGGCTATAGGGAAGGACACAGCCATCGTGAGGTTTGTAATGAACAAAACCCTGATGAAGACCTGGGCTCTTCCAAGAGGCCAGGAAGCTGGAACTGTGCCATCACAGGACGATGCTGCGGTGTAGTTAGGTCAGCAGGCCAGGGGACTGGCCCCTTCTAGACAGGTGCAGACACCATCCTAACGCCTGTCGTGCATCTTACAGAATGGGGCTGTGAGCATTTCCACTTCCTAGAGTTGCTTTGGGGAGAGAGGACAATACATGCCAGGCATTTAGCCCTCTGAAGTATGCAAGATAAATTATAGGCTCCCCTCTTCAGCCCTTTGGATTTATTGCAGAGATTGTGTGTGCGTGTGTGTGTGTGTGTGTGTGTGTGTGTACACATACATGTATAATGAACTGTGCCATCACAGGACGATGCTGCGGTGTAGTTAGGTCAGCAGGCCAGGGGACTGGCCCCTTCTAGACAGGTGCAGACACCATCCTAACGCCTGTCGTGCATCTTACAGAATGGGGCTGTGAGCATTTCCACTTCCTAGAGTTGCTTTGGGGAGAGAGGACAATACATGCCAGGCATTTAGCCCTCTGAAGTATGCAAGATAAATTATAGGCTCCCCTCTTCAGCCCTTTGGATTTATTGCAGAGATTGTGTGTGCGTGTGTGTGTGTGTGTGTGTGTGTACACATACATGTATAATGCTGATAGTGAATGAAAACACAGGGGCAGGGGCACAGGAGGAGCCCAGCAGCTCGGCCAGCCTGGAGACACGAGCCAGCCCACTGGGCAGCCAGGGGAGCGCTTCCCCGTCACAGGGATGGAAAGTAAGACGGAAGCCAGCGTGTGTGGAGTGCGCCGGGCAGTGGTTCACCTGAGAGTCTGGTCTAGGGCTGAGGAATCAGGGGCTCCCAGAATCTTAGAGCTGCATGTCAGTCTCAGAAAAGCAGGTGGGTGCCTGGGGGGCCCTGAACCCCCAGATCTTCCCTCTGGATTTGGAAGGGACTGTGGACGCGGCCTGGAGAGCACCTGCTGAGGGAATCTTTCCCCCGAGGTGGAGCCCCATTGGGGGTGACTGGGGAACTGGGCTGCCCCAACCCTTGGGGCAGAATTCTAAACCTCCTGTTCCTCCCTGGGGCCACCCCCAGTGCTTGCCCAAGGCCCCCCAGGAGGGACCCTCTGACCTGTTCACTCACTGTCTTCCGGCAGAGACCCCAAGCTGCCGCCAGCCCTCCCTCCATCCCTCGCCCCTCACTCTCGTGCCCCCAGGGGCTGCGTGGCCCTCTGCCCTAGCCCCAGCTGACTCAGCGATTCTATGACAGACCCTGGGGAACTTTGCCACCCAGAGCTGGCTTTGAAGGTCCAGGCTTCAGCAAGACCCTGCCTGGAGCCGCTTCTTTCCCATAAATTTTCCTTTTTTAAAAAATCGGGCTGAGCCATTTTTAAGTGAGGGTAGGCGTATTGTTAAGAGGGTCCATCTTGCAGATTAAATTTTTTTTAAAACAAGTCTGGTCATCATTGTCCACACAGAATAGCAGCAGTGGCCTGGGGCCTGGCTAGGCGAGACTTGTGCCCCTGAGATGATCTGATTGTTCGATCCCTTCAGCAGAGAACGAGGGGCGTGTGTTCAACAGACCCGCTCACCACTGGGTCATCCCGCCACACACGCCACGCGGCCTTCTCCCTGGTCATTGCAGGGAAGACCCTGATGGGAAAATAGATCCCATTTCTGGCTGCAACGTGGGGTGCCTCCGTCTAGGGGGGACCACGGCAGATGCTGCTGCACCCCTGCACTGGGCTGAGTGAATGAGTCTGCAGGGGCAGGTGTCTTCCTGGGGGCGGCTTCCAGTGGGGAGAGCCGCTAGCCAGGTGTTGATGGGGCTGGGCTGGGGACACTGCCCTGAAGGACTGGCATGGAACCTGGGACCTGGCACTAGTCTGGGAAGGTCTTCGGGCAGAGAGGGGAGTCGGTTGTTAGGGAAGGGTCTCAGAATGTTCTAGAAATGGGAGGTGAGCCAACAGGCAGGAGCTCAGTGCAGGAGTGAGGCAGGCAGAGGCAAGGGATTGGCAGGCTCGGGTCTAGCCCATAGGGCCCTGGGTCTCACCAGGCATATGACCCAAGCCAGGGGTCACTCAGTAGGCCCCACCCTGGCTGTGCCCAGCGAGCCCTAATCTAACATCGGCTTCCACCTGTCACACTCCTCCTGGGCGTCTGGGATCTTCCCTGGTGGTGGTGAATCCTCATCACCACCCTGCGAGGTGGAAGAGCCAGCCCACATGTACAGACCCAGCAGTGGTGTGGCTGGTGCCCAGTGGGGAAGGGCCTGGGCCGGGGCTGGGTTCTATGCGAGGACTTGTTCGGAGCTGCCAGCTATGGGCGCTCGTCCCCCTGCCCCACACCTTCCCTGCACCACTTCTGCTCCCTGGCCCTCGGGGCTCCGGGTCAAGGACATGGATGCTCCTAGGAAGGTGGGGGCGGTGCACCACACGGCGCAGCTGTGATACCAACGAACTGCCACACTTGATTTATTTGGGATTATTCAAGACGCTGCATTGTAGAGCTTTTTTTTTTTTTTTTTTTTTTTAAATCAAGATCTGTTTAGTGTGCCAGCCAGTGGCATGGTGTTTAAGACAGCTAGATCCCACATGGCTGACTGTGTGGTTCGAGCCCCGAACCTGAAGACTTGAAAAAGGAAACGTGCCAGACGCATGTGCATGCCTAAAGCCCCGACAGGTTGGAGGAGAGGGACTGCAGCGGCCATGTCCCCTGGGAGGTGACTTCTGCCCCTCCTGTCCCAGCCTGCAGTCTCCGGGAAGGGAATGCTACCTATAGCAAATGTTAAAAATAAATGAATAAATAGTAACGATAGATCTGTTCAGTAACCTGAGGAATGCTCGCGTGGGAAGTGCCAGGGAGGCAAAATTAAAGTTGACTGGACTTTTATTCTGTAACTGGGCTCCCAAGCAGAGCCTCCTGCTGATGAGCGTTCGAGGCAACGGCGCTAAGCTGAGGCAGAAGCAGGGCTCGCCGGCGGCACCGGCAGCACGGCGGAGGCAGCGGGCTTGTTTACACTCCCGAGTCAGACTGGCATCGCGTCCCAGAATCCAGCCTCGCAGAGCAGTGGCTGGTTCGGGGGGCCTGGAGGAGCCCTGTGACTTCTGGTCTAAGTGTGGGTCCTTCTCTAGCCAGCCTGGTCTGCAGGGCTCAGTGAGCAGCAACGCGTGGGCGCTGGGAGCAGAGTGCCTGGGACGGGCGCCTGCTGTGAACTGGAAAAGAGAGCGTCTTTATTTTGCCTTTGCAAAGTTCCCTAATGGATCAAGTGGGACCACGTTTGCCAACACCTTGTGGAGGGCTTCGGAAACACGGCGTGGGCCCAACACTTCAGACGTGGCCAGGCTCCAACAGCGGGCCGGGTACAGGGGGCCGGGTACAGCGTGCCGGGTAAAC